AGGAGGAAACCAGTCGAATCAAAAGAAACCTTGGAACCAAGGCAACCAAAGAGGTGGTGCTGCAGGTAAAGGAAGAGGTGGTGATCGAAAGACAGACAAAAGCCACATTCAATGTTTCAATTGCCAGAAGTATGGTCATTATGTTAGTGATTGTCCAGAAAAGAAGAGAAATCAAGAGACTGATGCAAAGCTGGTGAAACATGAAGAAGAAGAAACGTTGCTAATGGTCACAACAAAAGATGAAGAAAGATTCCAAGATCAGTGGTACTTGGACTCAGGATGCTCATCACATATGACTGGAAGGAAAGATTGGTTTGTCAACATGAAGCCCTCGTCGAAGAATACAGTGAAGTTTGCAAATGACAACACTCTAGCAGCTGAAGGTGTTGGTGATGTTCTGATTATGAGGAAAGATGGCAAAAGGTCAACAATTTCCAATGTGTTGTACATACCAGGCATGAAGAGTAATTTGCTCAGTATAGGGCAGCTTGTCGAAAAGAACTACAAGGTAGTTGTCGAAGATAAGATGATGAGAGTCCTCGACGCAGGTGGTAGACTAATCTTGAAGGCTCCAATGTCTCAGAATAGGACCTTCAAGATTGGACTCAATATGATGGAGTACAAGTGTTTAGCAACTGCAGCCATTGAAGTCGAAATAGAAGTTCGACAGGAATCAGTTGCAGATGAAGCAGGTTCAAGCAGATCTCGACGAACAAGACACATGCCTGCAAGATTGCAAGAATGTGTAATTACATCAGATGATGTAGTCGATGAAGAGGGTGAGTTGGTACATTATGCTTTCTACGCAGATGTCGAACCAATCAATGCAGCTGGGGCATTGAAAGATTCGAAGTGGATGAAAGCAATGATTGAAGAGTTGGAGTCCATCGAACCAGTCAATGCAGCTGAACCCAGATTGCAACTGTCGAAGGATTCAGATGAAGATGATGTCGACCCAACCCAATCCAGAAGACTTATTGGGTCACTTAGATACCTTTGTCACACAAGGCCTGACTTAGCATACAGTGTTGGTATGGTAAGTAGATTCATGCAGAAGCCAAAGGTATCACACCTAGCAACGGCGAAGAGGATACTGAGGTATCTGAAAGGAACTCTCGACTATGGTATTTTGTTTCCAGCAGCTGATGAAGGAAAAGAATGCAAGTTAGTGGGATACACAGACTCCAGTTGGTGTAGTGATGCTGAGGATCGAAAATCCACAGCTGGTTATGTGTTTATGTTAGGTGGTGCACCAGTTGCTTGGAATTCGAGAAAGGAACCAGTAGTGGCATTGTCATCATGCGAAGCAAAATATATAGCTGCTTCTCTTTGTGCATGTCAAGCAACTTGGATGGTGAACTTGGTCGAAGAAATCACAGGGAAGAATCATGGAGCAATTACCATGAGGATAGACAACATGTCATCTATCAACTTGGCGAAGAATCCAATAGCTCATGGTCGAAGCAAGCACATCGAAATGAGGTTCCATTATCTTCGAGAGCAGGTAGCAGAAGGGAAGGTGAAGTTGGAACACTGCAGAACTGAGAATCAGATTGCAGATATCATGACGAAGGGAGTGCAGGTCGAAGCCTTCAGAAGACTAAGGGCCATGATGAATGTAGACAGTTTAGACACAATGAATTAGATGGTGTGTTAAATATAATTCATTGTGATTTGATATAATTAGATTTGATATCATATGATTAATTTGATATGATATGATTAGATATCATATGATTAAATTTGATATCATATGATTAGATTTGATATCATATGATTAGATTTGATATCATATGATTAGATTTGATTTAGAATATTTTGGGCCTTTTATGTTTTGGGCTAGTGTAAACCTAAAACTATAAATAGGGCGCCTTGCTTTGTATTCTACATCACAACAGAACATATTTCACAGTTGCATTTGGCAAGTGAAAGTTCAATAAGAAATCCCACAGTTGTGGGTAACACATTCTCTCCAAATACTTCTTCTCTCATTCTTCTCTTTCTTGTTTGTTATTCTTCTTTCTCTTTTTGTTGTTCTTGATAATTACTTGTTATTACCATTACTATCATATTGTGGGTTAGTTCATCAATCTTGAGATCAAGATTGAAGGGAATTCTTCATAGGGTGTGAGGTGAATTTCCAACATTTACGCCTCTAATTCCCATAAAATCCTTACAGTTTTCCCACATTCATTAGAGTTCTCATAATCAATTACCCTATACGGTTAAAACTCAACAACAGATTTTGGCCACGAAATCCTAATTTCCCTTACTCCCAAATCAACCTCAAACCTATCAGACCATCAGTTCAAATCCCTAAGACTCATTAAACTCACCATAAAGGCAACAACTATTCAATACTCAAAATCCCTAAACCCTTAAATTGGCTTTAAATACATTGAATCACATATTGAAAACAATGAAGGTAATATCCTCATACTTAAACAACCTCAAAAACAGGTTTGGCCACGAAGGCCTAATTTCCTCAAATTCAAAACCCTTCTAAATCCTTAAATCGGCTTTAAATACATTGAATCATATATTGAAAACAATGAAGACAATACTCCCCATACCTTAATTGCCGACTTTAAGCCTTTCTCCTTGATTCTTCGAAACCTCGCGAAGCTTTTGCCTCAATCCTCTTCCTCAGAGCTCTGGCCTCCATTTCTTCCCTTTTCACAGTCTAACAAGAATGAATCCTAATTTCCTCAAAATTCTTTTTTTTTTAAAACCTAACTTTAGGCCTTAAAATGAGCTTTCCAATTTCACTATCACTAACTCCTCCTCAAATGTCCACTTTGCCCTTAAATCACTTATATTTATTTAAACTAATAATAATACCAATATATTCATATTATATACTATTATTTAAATAAATAACTCAAAACTCCATAATTCCTAATATTCACACCAACCACCGAAAATCACCAAAAATACGAATATTCATATTTAAATAAATATTCGAAGAATTTGGAGTGTTACAGCCATTGATTCCACCTGTCCTGGCGCGATGCCTGCGGTACATAAGTGCCCCTGCTGCCACCGCAATCATGTCATCCAATACACACCTGTGGTCAGACCCCTCAGGGAAGAAACCGGCGGTAATGCCTGCCTGCCCCATCTCCACTATCTGACAATAGCGAGGCAGGGCATTCTGAGTGTGGTCCAACTGAGACTGATGCTCCTCTAAGATCTCCTGATGAGCTGGTTTAGGTGGTGATCCTTCGGCAGTGGGCACCATGTAGGGGTGTTAGACGGTGAAGAATCACATGATATAGCCATCAATGCAGCTCCAGTCTGTCGACGCTTTGGTCGCCTGAGCCTCGTCAGGTACCATGTGCATCTGGTAGTCGGCATAGATCTCCTCTATCTACATACGGGTCAAACCGAGAGGAGCGGAGACAGCTGGGTGTCTGAGAATATTCTGAGTGTAGTCGAATTACTGCATGACACACTCGGGAAAATATGGAACAGTGATGGTCGAACTGTATGCCAATCATTCTGAGAATAGGGAGATATCGTCAAACGGGCGCATCACACGGTGATCAGCATAGACGTCATACCGAATGTCCTCAGCAGCCAGAAGATCGAGATAGACTCGATAAGGGTCGACCACCTGGTTCCCTCTGAGCAGAAAAAAGGCACAGGCACACAACATCTACTCTGTGTAATTAGGCACACTCCCCCACCCGGCAATCATGGGAAAGTGCAGGAGTATCCAAGCCTGAAATGAAAATAAAAAAACATTAGGATCAAGCATTATCTCGAATGTATAATGAAAAGAAATGAAAAAATGTCGAAAGATATAAGATTGTTACCTCAAGTAGTGCCACGCTCCCTGCCACAGTCCTGGTATTCCACAAGCATCCCTCTCCCAACCTTGAATACGTGTAAGCCAGGGTAGCCGCCCCCAGTTGTACTCATGGATCCGTGTGGAACCCAAAAAGTACCTCAGGTAAGCGACGTTCGTATATGTGGAGGAAATGTCCACAAATAGCTGAGTGTCTGCTAAAAATAGAAAATAACATCTTAGCACACGCTACCAGAATTCAAAAAGTTTGATTTGTTTCGGAGTTGCATCTACGGAAATGCCCTAACGTTAATTTGTCCGTAGATGTTGCTCCGGAACTTCCTGCAACTCTAACAGCCACGACAATGGTGTCCCCTACCCATGAAAACTAATTTTTTGAAGCCTTGATCGTCCGTTTCAGCTAACAAACAATACCTACATTGTCTCTAAACTATGTTTCTAAAACTATCTAACGATTTCTACGCCTAAGTTTGGTGGAAAAAGTTTTCTTTAGGATTGACAGAGTTTGGAGAATTTGAGAGTGAAAAGTTGAAAAATGAAGAATGAGAAATGAGAAGGAACTTTGGCGCGAATGTATTCTAATTTGTTCCAGAGCTTTATAAACGGAAACATTTCGTAGATATAGCTAAAAAAAAAACAACATTAAATAAATAAAAAGATGCGGTTAAAGATACATCTCCAAAAGCAAGGGGTGTTTTTAGAAGCCCCCATGATACCTAAGAATCCTAAGAGGTGGGATAAGAAATTCAATAAACAATCATTATAAGTTCCACTTTATTATGAGTTTTTTTTTAAAGAATATGATCTAATTACTTTATTGACAAATATGACACACCCTCGCGTCTAAGATTGAACATATGGAACGTGAAAATAAATGATGGATAACCTGATAGCGAAAATCTAATAGTAGATAACCCATCAAATCTTTAATCAAGACTGATACCATGTTAAGTAATGTAATAATCTGAGTTACAAAGCAAATTAGTAGAGTATTAATCAGAGTTAAAATCCATTATAAATCATGAAGTACATTACACTCTTTGTCCATCATAAAAAGAATTTTCTACTGTTAACCATGAACAAGAAGGATCCATTTACTTCATAGATGTGTATTTCCTCTTTCTCCACATATTTCTCCACATAAAAATATGACATCAGTTTCCATATACAAAGAGCACAGTAACACTGATTATGTAAGGAAGACTAAGAAAAATAGGAAAATGAACAGAGCCAACAAGCCCAATATCATCATGATCTGGCCTTTTGCGCTAGCCTTCTTCATAACCATTGCCACTTTTTTCTGCAACCATAATAAAAGATCATTATTTTACCTCTTCACAAGAGTAACTGAGTAGTCCAAAATCTAGACGAAAACTAAAACTAAATAGAGAAACTCACTTGGACAAAATCTAGACGATTTGATGTACTATCCATCTCGTTACCGAGTTCATCTATAATCTTTTCCTGAGGCGATAAGATTTTGATAATTTTAGAATGAGAAATTCTGATAGCGATAAAAATACAAAGGCACGGGAACGCTACAATTATCCAAGAAAATGAAAGAAAACACAAGTTTTATTTAGTATTCTATAATTAGAAGAAAAATACTAAGAATCATAGAAAGTAAAAAGCTTTCGAATTCAAATCATTACCTGTGCCATGAGTTCTTCATGGATAGTGAGTCCAACGCCTCCAATTCTTTGCACGCTTATACTAAGTTCATCTAATTCATCATCCTGTTGCCTATCATTCCAAATCGATGTAAAATAAATCAAAAATAAAATAGCAAGTATTTCCTGAAATCACATGCATGCCCAGACAAATTTCTAAGCTATCGAGCAAGTATTTCATGTTTTTTATATTATGGTTATCTAATAGTTGCTAAATTTTATTCCCCACTTTCATCAAGAAGGAAAAAGGAAATCAACCATCTTGTCTTAACTCTTGATGAATAATCAGAGTAGATCCAAATATCAATTAAATATTATAGTGAGACTTTTTTTTATCGTACATAATGACATCGAAAATTAATGAAATTATTAAAGCAGGCAATTTTTATTCAATCAAACACATACAAACAAGGTGTAATCAATTCAATTTAAAATCACAGTTTATTCAACAAAAAATAAGAAGCTTAAAAAATGTGTACTTCTGCACAAGTTAATGCACATGGAAGGATCACATTTCTTGCCTGAAAAAGAACAAGGATTGGATTGGCATTATAATTTAATACATTGGAGAGATCACAAACAATGAAAACATTGTTTTTCACCTAATAACCCATAAGTGACCATGCTTAGAGCTTAATCTCATGCAGATGAACAAAAGTCACTTTAAATGAGGAATGTTATGCCAAATGAGAAATGTAATGCATATGATTTAGAGAGAGAGGGAGGAAATGAGTACTTTATAAGAAGCATCTGTCTATCTGATTCTGATTCTATGAAATCATCATTGTCATTGGCAGCATTATGGTTGGATGTATGAGTTTGGTAGGAATCTGGTAGCCGCATTAGTTCTCGGTGCATCCCGTTAATGCCTGTTGTGCTTGAGCTCTTTCCAGTATCCACTGTTTTCTTCATTGTGACAACCTAAACAAGCAAGAAAGGAACCTTTAATCTTTATGTATGATACAAATACAACAGTAAATATAAATAAACAGCTATACAGATAGTTGAAAAAAACTGATTGCATCTTCCCAACTAACTAAAATTGGGCATACATTTTGGATACCTGAGTACGGGCACTGCTTGTCCATCTCTTCCGATTTTCAATCTCCACGTCATCAATGCCATACCAAGAAGGTTCCTTAGAAGCAACAGCAATGGCCTTTTCCAATTCATCCACCTTTCTATCAAAACAAAATACTTTAGCATTTGTTTATAGGTTATGTTGCAAAGTTAAAGATCGTGTAGGACAAAGAAAGAAATCAAAGCAAATACCGTCCCTGTCTTATGTGTAACGAAAGTAACTCTAGGTGGAAAATAGAGTTCGTTCATGTTTGTTGGACTGAAATGTAGCAAGTAGAAAATTTGAATTGAATATTATGTTAGACTAGCTTAGTACAATGATATTTATTAATTAAAAGCGAAATGCAATTTACTTCCACTCCACCCACATTTTCGAGACTCTTGTGTAGCATAAAAATAAGCTTAAAGTGACACTCTACCCATTCTCAACGCTTTACCAAACAGTATCAATATTAACCTTTCAATATTCTATTTAACTCTATTTCATTTTCTGCACCTTTCTAGTAAGCACGGCTGGGGCATCTTAAGGTTTTAGATGTGAAAGCAAAGGATGAGAAAATAAGAGGATAGACTGATAGACAATGATTTTCTTAGCTGTGAGTTACTTTGATGTTTAAATAAACAAGGGGAAGGGAAAAAAAGGGTAAAATGAAAAAATAATAAGTATATATAATTTAAAAAAGTATATTAATAATGTCATATTAAAATTATTATTATATAAGTTTGCAATTATACTCCAAAAATAGTATTGTGTTGGAAATTCCTTCTTTATTCATATTGTGGTCCGCCCCTAGCCCTTACTTGTGCCATTTGGGTTGCCTTCTTTGCAACCTCCAACACCTTCATTGCTTTGGGTGTGAAGGGGTAAGTTGTTAAGCTCGGCCGATATATCGGCGTAGAACGGCACAGTGGTGAAAAATGCATCAGACCGCGCTGGGACGGCACAATTGGGCAATGTGGCCAGAACAACCGAAAAATCAGTAAGAAAAGGCACGAAAAAGTGGTGACGCGGCTTGGAACAGCTGAGACTTCCGTGTCTGGTTTTCCCGTAATTTTAAAACGCCGAGGGCTATTTTGGACATTTTAACATTAAAGAAAAGCCCTAATACAGCTCTCAGCAACTTTTGAATCTACGACACATACTTCTCTCTTTGCTTCACACCTATCACTCTCCTTCTCCTTCTAGCTTCCATTCATCTTCTTAGATAACATTCCACATGATGCTTGAGCTTTTATTACAGGCTTTAGTTAAGTTTTTTTTTTTTTTTTAAATTTCATTGAAATTTGAAACTATGTTTTGTTTAAGACTTATGTGTGTGTTAGTAAGTAAATATATTAGTGTCCGCATCACTAAAATAACACCCGTTCCGTTCTGCGTTCCATTCCATTTTTTGAGATGGCCGCACCACGCCATTATCCGAGTTTAACAACATAGGTGAAGGGCTGAATTTAGTCCCACGTTCCCTAGAGATATGACTTGTGTAGTGTTTATAACCTTGGCAGCCCTCACTTTCAGTTGGTTTTGAAAGGTTGAGTTAGGCTCAACCCAAATTCCAAGATTTAGAATAATAAACTCAAAAACATGTTGAAGATCACCTGTTTCTTTCTCTTTATAAATACTCCAAATTCTAGGAGCTTAATAAAGGGATCATTGAAATATTTTAAACTTTGAAGGGCAAATCATTTCAATTTCTTCCCAACAGAATCCATCTAAAAATAAGCACACAACACTGCAAATGAATGCAAGAACATAATGGAATAACGAAAAAGCTAATTTATAATAAGCCATTTTTTCAGCAATTATGCATGTGCATCCAATGAATCTACCTGCCACTCTATACTTTCACATCCAGCAACAACCTCCTTTGTAACACGTACTCGCTCTGCAGCATCAGAAGTACGTTTCCATTGATCAAAAGCAGATTGCAAATTATCAATCTGAAATTGACAATTAATCACACAATCAAACACATTTCCACAAAACCCACCAAGAATAAACCTCATCAATTAAACATTTAAACCTTCCTTTAGCAATATCCCAATTTTCAGTTTCAGATCACACTTCAATTTTAACTCAAAACCCTAAATCCCAATTTTACGTATCCGAATTTAGGAGAAAGTAAATCCTAAAAGAAAAGAAGAAAAAGCTTACAGATTCTTGAATCTCGGACTTGACAACGTAGAATGGATCCTGAGCTGAGGGCATGTTATGTTACGGATCTGATCGGAGAGGAATGAAACTGTCGTGAACACTGAGAACACTGTTGTTGTGCTTTCTCTCAATTTTTTTTAGAATTTTCAATTTAATGATATAATAAATATTCCATCACTTCCATGGCAAGAACATGAACTTTGTTTATTATTTTTATTAAATTAGTTAAATTAAATATATTTTTTAAAGGTTTGTTTTATCTTTATTCCCTTCAACATGGTTTTTTATTTTTTATTTTTATTTTTTACATATGTTGATGTTGTTACGGTGGAAGGTAATCTGTCTGCATTAAGTGCCGTTACATCTCTTAATTGGGATTTAATTTACTTGTTGGGATTTAATTTACTTGTTCTCTAAGTTTGTGAGGAATTAGCCACTTCGTATAAACCAATTATTCACTAGTTATTTGGTTGTTGTTTGATTTCATTGCACTTTCATTGAATTGGCATTCAAGTGTTTTTTTTATCGGATATTATTAAGTGTATCGGGAGACTAATCACTCGAGTTAGATAAAACTTTAATAGGTAGTAAAACTTTTTCTCAAAATAATTTAACACTAGTGCGTATTTAAAGTCGAGTTTGAACTTCTGGCTAAGCTGAAAGAGATCTCTTACCATCTTATTCAAGTGCTATATTCAAGTGATTTTTAACTCTTAATAATTTTATAAAATGTCATTAGTGCTTAAATAGTTACACTGTCTCGAAAGTAAACAAGTTTTGGGTTTTCATCTCTGTATTTTTTCTTTTCTTAAAATAATATTTGAATGCTAAAACATTTTTGATATTCATCCTTAAAGTTAGAATCTGCAAGAAATCATTCATGTGGATTTTAACTTTAAGAATGAATAACAAAAGGATTTTAACATTCAGATGTTATTTTAAAAAGAAAAAAAAGATATAGAGACGAAAACTAAAAACTCACTTACTTGTAGGCACGACTTAACTATTTAAACATTTCATTAATTATTTGATTTTTTTAGACATCATTAATCAATGACAATTGTTCTAGACCAATCAAAGGTCTGGTGTGAGGGCCTAACCACACATGGCCCAATTGAGATTATCCAACGTATATAGTTAGCAGGCGTGAGATTTAAGGAACATTTTTCTGATCTCCACTTTTCACTACACTCATCTTGGACTCTATAATCGACTTAGGCGTTGCAGTACTAACCTTATAGGTTCATCATGCGCAATCGTACCAGCGATCAGCACAATCGCTTACATGTTCATACATCAACAATTAACGCCAATTCTGGTTCCAATACAAAAGTGTGGCACCATTATGGGAATCGACCTCTAAATCCCACGAAACTCCACAAATAGATAATTATTAATTCAAAGCCACATATTTAACATGACCTCCGTAAGATGGAGGTAATAACCGCATGCATCACACTAAAGAGCCTTGTCGAATTCTTCAATCTTACACCACCTTAATTCTATGTCATCGATGAGATCTGTATGAAAGTGATGTCTAACGAAGATCCACCACCGGAGAACTTCCTCCAAGCAACTACTGACACCAAATCACAAAGACAGGTTTGTGCTAGAATTTCAAGATCGTGAGAAATTAGATGAAGTCTTAAATGCGGAGTTACTGTTAATTATAACAACCACTATAGCGGATCATGCAGTATCAGGATTCCTCGTAGACAAAAAAAGTCTGTTTAATGTCCTCTACATTGACACGCTCAAACAACTAAGACTCTACTCTCTAGATCTTAGTCCATGCAACGTCAGAGGTCACTTAGCCTTCAATGATTCCATAACTCGGCCTTGTGGAATGGAAGATTTATAATTATCGCTTGGATAAGAAGAAATAAAAAGAAGATTAACCCTCTACTTCCTAGTTTTTTTGTGTAAAAGTGTTTTTAGAAGCATCTTTAACAGGTCTTTTTTTGGAAAAGCTGGATGTCGTGGCTTTTCCAGTCCACCTTAAAGCAACATATCATAGTAACACCAGGAAGCCGGTTGTAATCAACACAGACTTAAAAGTAGTAAGGTGTAATTCCCTGGACTACTTTCAGGATTATCGACTGACCCCATCTTTTCAGCATGGCATATCCTCACTCACATGCTTTTTGGGAAACTTCCCAGAATGTCACCCATCCAAATACTACTCCAAGTCAAACACGTTTAATTATGGAATTCTTATTTGATAGACTACCAAAAAGAAGATGCACCTTGTTTGTATAGGTAGTATTAATCAAGTCTTATAAGTTTTCCTTCAACCATGTAGTTCTATCCCTACACAGATTCAGGATCCCTCTCATTTCGATGTGAATTCAGTGACCACTATCTGCCCTATTTGACCTTGAGTATTACATCCGCTCTCTATCCTTTTCGGCCTCAGGTGTTACATGTCCACCAGCTTATGATTGGTTCGTCCACGAACCACATCGTACTGGGAGAGGTCTCGCTCTAATACCATTTGTAAGACCTTAAACTGCTTTCAAGATTACTGACTGACCTCAAACACCAACACAGGTCTTTACAGAATGTTTTGTCTCCATTCACACGCTTTTTAGAAAACTTACCAGAAGGGCACCCATTCAAATACTACTCCAATTTAAACATGCTTAACTATGGAGTTCTTATTTTATAGGCTACCGAAAAGAAGATGTATCTTGTTTGTATAGGTAGTATCAATCAATCCTTATTAACCTTCCTTCAACCATGCAGTCTCATCCCTGCACAATTTTAAGATCCCTCTTATTCTTATGTGAATTCGGCGACCACTATCTGCCCTATTTAGCCTCAAGGTTTACATCCACCCTCCGCCGTCTTCGGCCTCGGGTGTTGCACAAGGTGTATCCGTAAAGTCATACTTCAAAATCTCATCACCACTTCGGTGGTGTCAAAAGAAGGTCTAGGGAAAGTCAATATGTTAGATCTCAATGTGCATAAAGATGAATTTATACCAATTTTAAAGGGTGATTTCAAAGTCGTTTAGCTTGATGATAATCCCATCAGGTACATGAAGATGAGATTCAAAATCCCTTCCGAAGTAATGAACACATTGATCAAATATCTTTGGGCTAATGTGAATCTCTTTGTTATTTTATCCCATGAGATGCTCGACATCGACCATACAATAACATTCCATCAATTAAACGTTGACCCAGTGCCTGGTACATCTCCCAACAAAGAACAAGGTAATCTTCGAAGAAAGTCGAAGCTACCGCTAGCACGTTGGATTGCCTTTTAGATGCCAATTTCATTTCTGAATAGAAATACACATAATGGCTCTCTAATGTTGTATGAGTTAAGAATGTTTGACATATGACTCCACACAGAAGAAAGGGTGAATTGTGAGGGTTGAAAAATGATGGTTTAAAACATTATTATTTTCATTTTTAGAGGTTAAAAATATTTTTGATAGAAGTGATTGAGTAGTAACAACGGATAATAAAAAGTTAATGGTAAGATAAATAACACGAGAAAATTATATAGGTTCGGTTAAGAATACATATTCAAGTCTCAAAGATGATCTTGAGAGTATCCAGTAATGCTTAAGAGCTTTTAGTGGGTTAAAATCTCGAACCCCCTTTTACAAGAAAAAATAAAATTTCAGGCTAACTTAAACCATAAGGAACAACAAGCTGAGACAGTTAGCCTTCCTTCCAAACACAAACTTGAAGTAGTTAGTGTCGAAGCTAAAATGAGACTTTTAAGGACTTATCTCAAACCAAATTGTAGTTTTGAACTGGCTATCCTCCAAATCGAATCGGGGTTTTGAATAGGTTAGCCATGAACCAAGTTGAGATTTTACACCAATCCAATCTTGAACCGAATCGGGCTTTTACACGAGTTGACCACAAACTGAAGTTAAAATTTTAGACGAGACTAATCTTGAACGAAAGTAATTGCTTTTACATGGGCTAAGCTTATGAACCGAAACAGTGACTTTAAAACTAAATCCCCAAACAATTCTCTTAATAGGTATAGCTTTGAACATAAACAAACACTTCTGTATGATAAATTATTCAACCAATAGAAAAATACTACCTGGTGAATTTACAATAACACCCTTTTCAAAACAATTTTTAGAGAGAGAGAGAGAGCGCGTGTGTGTGTGTGTGTGTGTGAGGATTTAGATATAAATCTCACATTTTTGGATGTGAAAATATGAAGGGATATGTGTTTATTTATAGGCTAGAGGTTGACATGAAAAAGGAAAAGATCCATGGGTCAAATTAATGAGTTACTCGATTGGGAACTTAGGGTAATTGATTTGAAGCATTGGATAATTATTTGCAGAGGTTCAACATTGAAATAATTGATACAAAGACATTGCCCCTTTATTAAGACATTTCCATAATTGCTTATGGACAATGTTTTCAGTAACCCAATCGATTATGCATATATTCCAATTGATTAGACAGTTCAAAAAACTAGTCCAAACTATTCTGACAGATCCCGATTCTACTGGTTACACTCCAAAACATTTTAAGGTTATTTTCTTGGAGAAGTAAAGGCTTTAAAATATGTTTTTGTGTGTTTAATTTAGCCATATAACTTTATGATAATGCCCTTGTGTCTTTATAACACATTGTTCACTCAGACACGACTGAGCAAGCTTTCGCACTTCTCTCTTTCACACTTTAAAGCCAAGACTTATTGATTAAGCCATTCATATAAGATCTTATTTGAGTCTTCTTGGAGACGAGTCTTGAGATATTTTCAAGTTGAATACCATCATCATATGATAAAGATCATCAAACAACCCTAGTTTATCTGCTTGATTCAGAGTAAAAGCTTTAAGTAAACTTATATTGTTCATCTTTAATCGCTTAGCATTTTTACTTGAATTTATGCTTTAAGGTTCATCAAATGGTTGTATATTCATAAGTTAAGCCAAATTTAGATATATTTATGATTTATCCAAGTGAATCATATCGGAGGATATTCTCATATTCAATACATGGGGAAAGCCTACATTAGATAGATTGTTTTTCACATGGAAGACAAAAACTCAGTTTACTATAACA